GGCTGGGCGATAATTCGATAACGATAATTATCACGGTATAATTTTCCTCTATAAAACGATATGAAGAGTTCGATAAATGTTCGATATGATGTTTATGCGCCAAAAGCGGAACGAAACAGCGCGACTCATTTGAATGGCGCCACACGGACCGTTTATCCGCGCGGATCATAGTTCAAACTGCCGCGCGGCGTGAGCTCACTAGAGCAGATACTTACTTGGTCACGCGAGCATTAAAGGAACACTCCAAATGAAGGCTTGGTGAACAGAAGAGACTTCTTTAAAAAACATTAAAAATCTTACTGTTCAAAAACTTTGGGCTGGTGTATAGGCAACTTAAAATTTTCTCTTATTTCTAGCTTTTAATTGGCGTAGAAATCAGATAACTGCTGGACAATAACCAATAATAATGATTTGTTTATATACTACAAACACTTTTTTTTTTTATCACATAATAAGGCAGAATAGTTTCTATACTGTAATAAATGCTATGTCAATTAGCACTGCATTGTTCATATACTTTATTTATTACTTGGAGATGACTTGACAAACACAAATAAACCATATATTGTCGCAATCGTATGTTTAATGTCTTCATGTTTCCAAAAGTTTCAGTTTTTCTGTGAAAACAACTGTTTTCATACAGCGATAGCTGGACGCTTTTGTCCATATTAGGAATTCCCTCATACGACTTTCTGCGCAAGTCCACGAGAGCGCCCTCCGACTTCGAGTATGAATGAAACATACACTGCAAGGAGTGTTTAGCGCTCTGCGATGTTCATCTCGCCTTATTCTGGGTCCGGACGAATGTACGTGATATTAAAAGTGGGGGGGAACTTTAATAAAACATCATTTAACAAAAATTGTATCCATCTCAAGTGCAACACTGTACCAGGTGAGCTACCAAGCAAGTTTACTGTGTCAGAAATGCCATACATATGGATCTGTTTATGTGACGTAAATATCAAAATGTATTCATTCACAAATAATGCACTAGGGTAAAGTTTTGTAGTCATAACATATTATTGTGCAAGGACCCATACAAAAATAAGCCTTTATTCATTGATAATCTACCCCCTGATCATAATTTGTGTGAACAGCAATAAAAGTTGTTGGTGTTTTAATGTTAATAGTAAATTGTGTGTATAAGTATGTTTTTTGAGTTTTTCCAGTGGGCCTATGTTGCATTAAACATGCTATTGTTGCGGTATGCAGTATGCTTACATTCCATTCAAAACACAGCTGATGTCTTTTTACGAACCAAACTTCCCACAATGCTTCAGTGAAGATTCAAACTAATTTCACAAACCGACATTCATTCAGTGTTGGCCTGTCACTTCACGACTGCTGAGTAAGTTTGCGCGATTGAGCTGAGCGTGGGACCGTGAGTGACAGTTATTGAGCTGATGAGCCGTGAGACGTCTGTATGGGAACATGTTATTGATTATCACAACGCTGGACGAAGTTCGAGGCTTTCCCATAGTGTTCCAGCTGCCCTTTTGGGGATTTTGACTGACCCGGTAAAAAAAGAGTGTGCGGAGGTGCTAGGACCAGCGGACCCCCCCCTCCCCTTTCACTTGTATGCTTCGTATATCCATAGGCTCATGACAGACCCCCCACTAGGCATGGGATAAAGTGGCTTAATCAAAGTTGTCCAGGGGGGAAAATGGCCCCACCTTTTCTGAATAAATATTTGGGCCCGGACTAGTTGTCTAGTGTGCCCTCGACCCCCCGCCACACCCTGCTGCCCTGCTCCTCAGACCTTTGACCCAGCAGTGAAAAGTTAGTTGGGATGTTGGTGAACTCTCTCAGGGTTGGCTGTGCTGAAGGCGCTGGGAAAGTGCCCTCCGAGGGCCAGGGGTTGGAGGGGTAGGCGTGGGTACCACGAAACGACACTCCCTTTGACCCAAGTCTCCGGACCAGGTCTGAACACAGCGCTAATTTTATTGTTTCAGGCAATGCTAATGGCCAATGATAGCAGGGCCACTTGAAAGCCTCTGAAATCAGTTTAGCTTGATGTCAGCCGTATTCCGTTTACTCTCTCAGCGCCTTTATCTCTTTGTTCTTGGTAGGCTGTTTTCTTTTCTGATTACGCCCTCCAAGGTTTTGCTCTTCAGCAGCATCTCCTCATTGAGCTTCTCGCTTTCACTGGCTCTCTCTGTGAGGAGCGTCTCAGCATTCATAAAGACAAGAACTCAATAGTGTGGATGGCCACTGATCAATTTGACATGCCTATGTAGATAAACAATCAGTAAAAAATAGAATCAATATGGAGTTTAAGTGCTTTGGTTGAGTTAAACCACAGCAGCATCTTTTATTTTACAAACCTGTGGAACATTTGTTAAAGTTTTATGTCATAGCATCTGTAGGTTGTCCAAAAGTTTTGATATCTATCTATCTATCTATCTATCTATCTATCTATCATTTTAGCGTCGCATAATAAGGAAAAATAGCTCTTCTAATGTCAAACCAATGGAGACACGTCATATTAAAGGGGTCATATGATGCTTTTTTAAAGATCATTATTTTGTGTATTTAGTGTAACAGAATATGTTGACATGCTTTAATGTTCAAAAAACACATTATTTTTCAAATACTGTACATTATTGTAGGTCCTCTATGCCCCGCCTCTCTCAAACGCTTCGTTTTCTACAAAGTCCCTCCTTCCGACAAGCGCAGTCTGCTCTGATTGGCCAGCTGACCCAGTGCATTGTGATTGGCCGAACACCGCAAGCACTCGTCGGAAATGTAACGCCCCTTACCATAATCGCGAGCTTCATCTTTCAAAATAAATGTAAAGACAGAGCCCGAAAGGGGAACAGAGTCGCGTGACAGACACAGTGATGAAGCTGGTATGTGTTTGTGATGTGACCCCCTCTCTCTCTCTCTC